GGAAAATTTAAGGAGTTATTATTATGTACGTTTAGATGATACAACCGGTAGGATACTTTTGCACGTTACTGTATATACATAGACTACTATCCTTACGCGCACCAGGACCCATTCCATAGCCGAATCGTGCATAAAACCCAGCGAGCTTTTTTTTTTCGGATAATGTACGTGATTAAGTCTGTATGATTCAGGGAATGTCATTTCCTGCTTGATTAAGAAACTCCAAAACTTTTATTGGATTGTTGCATACTCTCATTCCACTCCTATTACTGCTATCAACTCTTTTCAAAGACCTCAGATTCAACCTTTGCAGCAGCGCGTTCTGTTCAGTTGTACTACTAGCGGATAGACGCTGAGCTTCGGCTAGATTAGCACGTATGGCTTCGATAGAAAAATGTTCGAGTGGAGTGGAAAGCCTCGACTGCATTGATGTTTAAAGAGAAGTCTGAATTTACCGTCGTAAACCACCACTAACGAAAAACTTCTTTGTTGTAGTAGGGTTTTCTACAACTCCCACAACACCTGGTTTCAGTTGTTGGATCGTAGCAAGATGTTTAGCCAATATACCCATATCACCGGCAGTGGAAGAGAGGTTGACCTGTTGGACTTCAGCACCATCGTGTGATGCACGGCAAGTCCAGTAATAACTCCTTCGCCTGGAATTGTATGAGCGTTATAAATGGCTAACGAGTATTGTAGAGCGACTGTTTACCATGAAACAGGTCGAGTGAAGTTTAGTACTTGTGCATAAACGATATTAACGTAAACTGCACCATATTGGTAAACTTTCTTTCTTCAAAAATTATAAAATTATGACTTTTTGAAAATGCACGTAATTTTACTATTAAGTATTTCTTAAAGCGTCGTCGTCGTTTAAGAACAGTTGAAAGAGTCGGATTTATCTCCAGCCTGCGGACCCAAACTTTATATTCAGGATTGAGCAATTTTTGTTGCTGATACTTCTCCCACACACTTCGTATTTATATGTTACATACAGCGAACAATTACACGATTAATAATTGGATGATATATAATTTTGTTCTATCTTTAAACTATATGTTTACAGCCAGCGAACAACCGCACGATTAATAGCTTGTTCTATCCTGATTCTTTGACAATGTATCAATCAATGCGATATAACCCCAGTAGCCCAGTGACTTTTGTATTACATGTCCCGCCAGTTAAAATTGTTCGTTTACAGCGAACAATTGCACGATAAGCTTTTTCTATCTTTAAACTAAATGACATCATAACAATGTATCAATCATGCGATAACAATATCAGTAGATGGGTATTAATATTAAAATAACATATATCAAAATTCGTCAGGCAAAACCATCAACAGTTGTTTGATCTATTATTCCTTCCAAGCAAGGCTTCTCGATACAGACAGATTTAACTAGCGGATATGTAATACAAAGTCACGGGTTGCATGATTGATACATTGTTAAGATCGCATGATTGGTACGTTGTCAAAGAATTAGATGTTCGCTGTAAAATACAAATACGAAAAGAAGCATCAGCAATTAAGTCACAGGCTACTGGGTTGGTGTTTGCCGTTTTCACGTAAACGAGGCTTATCTGTTGACAGAAACCAAGGAAAACAACCGACAATTACGCAACAAGGCTTTCATTTAGGGTCATGTTCTCGCCTCAAATGCTTGATTCTCGGATCTTCTCTACAAATACGACCATAAATGTATCACACGAGAAGGTTTTAACCATAGAAGAGCTTCGCAGCATTGAGAACCGTCATTTCGTAAACGTAACGACACTACTATGCCTCAAACAATTCGATACGTCTTTAAGGCATCATTTTAATATCAGTTTAGTTAATATGTATAGAAACATGCATGGTTAGAATATTCTATACGCTTCTAAAAGTTTTCATACACACTTTTTTTTTGACAAAACTCTTTACATATTATCTGAACAAAAATCTTTCTCCGTTCAAGGAGAGTTTCTATGTTCAAAATAATTTCCTTTCTTGTGCAATTGTTTCTTATTTGGTACAGTGTACTTATTTGGTGATCGGTATTGGCCTAAATAAAGAAGCTGGCTATTATTGTGGAAAATTGCTAAATCAGTAGAATTTATCAGCTATGCATATAATTTATCTCCTGAGCTTTTATGGTCAGTTTTTCTATCTATTAATGAAATAACCATTTCCGCAGCGTATGTTGTAAGTTTTCTAAAGAAGGCTGGCTGTTATCGCTGATCAAGAATTCAATGTCTTCGTAGAGACTTTCGTTCAAGTTGTGCCATATCAATAAGAGCTTGTCCATTGCTCGATAAGATTCCCGAGTTTTTGTTGGTACAATTTCTTTGTACGTATTAATTATTCATAATATTCATTAAGACGCTTTATCAGTCCATTACTTGCTTTAATTGACTAACAATGTTAGTGAGTCTAATCCCTGATTTGCTACTAGGGTTCTATCTCGTTGTTACTAAAACTATAAGTAGGCATAGAAGGATTAGTATCATTTGGATTAGGATCAATTCGATGTTGTTCGTTACAATCAATAAGAGTAAAAACTGTTGATAAAAATAATCAGTAATCAACTCCCGCTTTTGACATATTGTACACTGACTTTAATTTTTCTCCTCTTTAATGAATACGATAGCAATAAATTGTTTAAACTAATTTTCAAAGTAGTGTCTTAACAGTTGAGCGATCCATAGCAAGGTTGTACTTCTTATTATAGTTGCTACACTCGTTCGCGTTCGGATGTTGTTTAGTATTTCACGAATTTCACGTTTATTATCCAACTCAGTTGAGATCTTGTTTAAATAACTTTTGCACACTCTGGACATGGTGAGGAAAGTTGTGCGATCGAAACTTTTGCAGTTGATGTAAGCACAACTCAGCCTATTGCATGGGACTATAAATTTGCTGTTTTCGAAAAAGTCTGTCTCCGTACATTTGCCTTCGACACTGTGATAGGAAATAATTATATAATAAGGATAACGCAGAACGAAAGTTACAAATTGTTTACAATGCTATAATTATATAATAAAGATAGTGAAGAACGAAAGTTACAAATAGTTTTAAAATTGTTAAACATTGATCACAGTAACAGCGAGAATGTTAGTTATTACGTAACAACGGTAATAATAACAACGAGAAGATAATAGGCCTTATATGTCGTTATAACAATAATATTAATACAACGACAATACAACAAAGGGATTGGTATCTCCGTGTAAAATAAACAGTTACTTTATATTCAGACAACATATTAATAAGAAAGTAAAAATAAGCTTATGCTTGGTGGTAAAATTGCCATTATTATTACTATTACAGTACGTTTTATATTACACGACTCATAGCGTTTGTCACATAAAAATCTTTGACAGGATTTATTTATGTACACAGAATATTAAGTACGATTTACCGATTCGCTTGAACATGAAATCGATTTTTGTCATAATCCGGCATAGTGTAACAACCAAGAATCTAATTCTTATATAACTTACGTGTTTGTTAACCATAACTATTGTCGAGGTGTATACCAAAAATTGACACAGAATATTAAGTACAATTTTAAATTTCGATATACCGATTTGCTTTAATTATTCGAAAATGCAAAATCGATTTTTGTCATAATCCGGAATAGTAATAGCGTAACAACCAAGAATCTAATGCTCATATAACTTACATGCTTATTCATTGCGGCTATCGTTGACGTGTGTATAAAATATCGATACAATACGTCGCAAAGTCGCTAGAACAACACGTATCGTGTTTGAGTAATTATTATCTACACATATACCATAACAATGTTAGTAGAAATGCAAGTGCACTGTTGAATGTTAGTGACAATGAATAGCAGGATAATAAAAATTCCATTGACGGTGTACATCGTAGACGGAGATTTTATTAATTACTTTCGATTCTTATCAAATAAAATGCAACAATAGTAGCAGAAGTGAAAATACTAGTCCATTGGGATAAGGATGAAACACTCATTAAACTACGAAAGTTGCTATGCAGACCTGCATGCGTTTTTTTGAGTGTGACGTCTTCCTTTTTGGTGCGACCAGAAGGAATAGACCAAGACAAACACATAAAACCCGTACCGAAGCGAACACATAAAAAACCCGATAAACTGTTACAGTGAATTGTTTTACTAATGTACTTCTTACGTCCAATACATTAAAGAAGTTTTCTTGTCTTTACTGAAAAACAGAGGAATCAAATTACACATCCTTCTCATTTAATCAACTGTAACCGTAACACCTATGACCCGAGGGAATTACCAAGCTCTCATTCGGCTTTATAAATCAAAAGTTAAAAAGTCCCAAATTTATCCTTCAATTCACGTATACGCTGTCACCAAATTCTGCACAACACCTCTCCACCTTGATTACAGGCTATTGCCTCATGGACATTTATGACTCCAAGCGTAGTGCTAATGATAACGACCTCTCGCCACTCACAAAATCCACTCGCTGTCCAGCTAAAAACCTTTGCAAATTCCTCCACATTCATATAAACGCGTCTCGGTCCTTTACTAACACAGCTCATTCTACCTGTATTTCAATTCAAGCCATAACCGACACATAGCTCTATATTCTCCGGTGTGTTTGGCACGCACAAACTCTTTATCCGGTCCCCGGTGATCACCCCGAGTGACCGAGGATATAAAACATTCACGATACGGTAAAGAGGCAAGGTTCATTTTTTTATCGGGTACAGAAATCGATCTTAATTGTGCTGCGCAGAGGTCATGAACTGCCGGCATTTGTTGAAGGAGTGTGATTTCTCTTGTGGTGTGGTGAAATACAGCAAGCAATAAGAAATAGAAAAAAATGCTTATGGCAGCAAAGACAACATGCTTAACATTAAGATTGAAAAATTCTGAAAATTCTCAACACGTTCTGCATATGTCTTGGCCATTGGTGAGAAAAAATTAGTTTAACAAACTGCAAGTAAGTCACATGGTAAATCTTCCTCCGCAGTCAGCAAACTTAGCTTAGTAATACAAAAGTTAAATTAGTAACGGCGTGTCGAAAAATCCGCAACGGGCGCAATAATAGCAAAGTATGTCGAAAAATCCGCAACGGGCGCAATAATAGCAAAACGTTTCGAAAGAAATCCGCAACAGCACAAAATATTATAATTAGAAATAGATGCGTTTTTCCGCAACAGCACAAAATACTATATTTAGAAATAGATGCGTTTTTCCGCAACAGCACAAAATATTATAATTAGAAATAGTTGCGTTTTTCCGCAACAGCACAAATACTATATTTAGAAGTAGTTGCGTTTTTTTCGCAATGCTCGAAGATATATAAGTAGTCATCATATTGCAATATTGTCCATGTTGTGAATAAATAAAATATTACTGATCTTGGTAATATTCTCCCGCAATCCTTTATTATAAATATCCAATTAATTTCTATCGTCAAAATAATTGATTATTCGACCGGA